CTTCCTTCCTTCCTTCCTTCCTTCCTTCCTTCCTTCCTTCCTTCCTTCCTTCCTTCCTTTCTTCCTTTCTTTCTTTCTTCTGTCTCTCTGTCTCTCTTCTCTCTCTCTCTCTCTCTCTCTCTCTCTCTCCCCCTCCTTCCCTCTCAGCCTCTCCCTCTCTCCCTCTTTATTTGTATTTATGGGGAAATTTAAAGGACAAAGCAGATGCCTTTGACCTTACAAACCATTTCCACTTTCAGAATCCTGAAAAGCAGCAAAAATAGTTCCATGCAGTCTTGCTGCTACTTAAGCCAACATAAGTTCCCCATTCCTGGTCTAATTGCGGGGCTCTTCTGGGCCAAATGTTTGATTCTTTCCATTGTTCTGGTTATTTACTTCCCATTCCTTGAAGAGGGGGGGGGGAATCAAGATCTTGGGGTTCTCGGCTTCATGTCCACATTTAGCTGGACCTGCATCCTTCAAGGTCCCAGCTTGGAGACGAGGTGCAGAGAAAGAGGGGGAAAGAAAGAAAAGAAAGAAAAGCCTTGTGTTTGTGTGGATTATTGTGTGCTTGTCATCTGGAATGGTATAAGCTGTAGGTACAGCATCTCTTGGTGGTGATTTATGGTCCCTGTCAGCTGGCACCAGCGCTTTGTCTGCTGTAGCGTGGAGGATGAATGTGGTGCTGTCATCCAGGCAGGGCAGCCTGTCTCTCTCTCTCTCTGTCTCCTCCACACTCACACTCCCCCATTTCATGCCACTGAACATAAACAATCTTTTGTAAACCTGACAGTCACACTTACTTCTTTGGAAACATAAAGCAGAAATGTACGACTCGGTTTTCATTATCCAATTTCCAAGGCTATACAGCAAATGCGCTTGGGAAACAGCAACTAAAGGAGAAGAACAGAGCATCCAAGATGGGAAAAACATAAGAAAGAAGCAACAGAAGGATGAAGATCTTGTTGGACACTCAGCTTAGTGTCTACGCACTAGCATTCGTGATGTGTGTCATCAGCCGTGATGTGATTGTGCAATAATTTTTCGCCCCTTGGTGATTCCTTCTTCTGTTTCTAGGACTGTGTTCTTGAACAAACTGATTGTTTTTGGAATTGGGCTATAAGCTGACCCAGCCTGGACAACTGAGCTCAATATATGGATTGGATCTTTGAGTCATGGTTTAATGAGAATTTACCAATAAGTGCAAATTGCTTCATAAAAAAGGATTATTAAAATTAAATTAAAAATTAAAATGAAGCAAAACTAATAGTTGAATCCATCATGATCTGTCATCACGGAGGAGCATTGAGATAATTTCCCCAGTCCTAAATAACTTTATTAACAGAACATTAGGAGTTGGAAGGGATCTTGGAGATCTTCTANGATAGATAGATAGATAGATAGATAGATAGATAGATAGATAGATAGATAGATAGATAGATAGATAGGAGAGAGAGAAGAGAGAGATGATAGATACTGTAGTGTAGATGATGGATGAGAGAGAGAGAGAGAAAGATATGGATAGGCTGAAAAATAAATTTTGGGCTCGAGGACTACCTGAATCTCCAGAAAAATGGGGAAAAAACCAAGTAAAACTTGATGCTTGAGTCCCATTGTTGTTGACTTGGGATCCCTCCGCTGTGTTCTCCTCCAGGGACGAACAGTACAGGATCATGTGGAATGAGCTGGAGACCCTGGTGAGGGCTCACATTGCCAACTCGGATAAACACCAGCGGGTCTTGGAGTGTCTTCTGACTTGCAGAAGTAAACCTCCCGAAGAAGAAGAGCGCAAGAAACGAGGCAGGAAGAGAGAAGACAAAGAGGACAAATCTGAGAAAGCGGGGAAAGATTATGAATCGGAGAAATCCTGGCAGGAATCAGAAAGGTGAGCTGCTCAGGGTCGGTGGATTCGCACACAGGGCAACGGAAAGCTTAATTTGCCCCCACCCCACCCCCTCCGTTGGCCCAAAGGGGGGACGCTAGATTTCCAGAAGACATCGCGGCCTTTTAAATAATATCTTCAGGAATCAGTTGCTTGTCAGTAGGACAGGCAAACACCACACACCTCGCAACACACAACGCAGCGTGCTTAGCCGTGGCGGTTCCGCTCTGCTGGCAGCCTCCCTCCGTGCCGCTTTGGCGGCATCCGTAATTTATCTGAAGATGGATCTTTATTTTGGACTCAATCCGAATAGACTCCTTCATGGAGTGCTGTGTGCTGATGTTTGAACTTCCCAAGAGTCCTTGTATCCTTTCTTGCTTCCCGGATGAATTTCCTTGTTGCTTCGCTTCCTGGATTCATTGATTTAACCCCTTGCCCTGCTGGATTTCTTGCTTTGCAGCCCCTGTGCTGGAGGACTTGCAGCCAGAGGCTGCTGGAGGTGTGTGTGTGTGTGTTTGTGTGGGTGTGATCCAGAGGTGGGTTCCTACCACTTCGCACCTATTCGGTAGAACTGGTTCGTCAAATCTACTGAACAGGTTAGAAGAGGTTCCACCAGTGGACCCGGAAAGCAGGCCACACCTACAGAAGAGGTTCCAAATTTTTTTGAAACCCACCACTGGTGTGATCATTGTGCCCTGAGTCATCAACAGCATCCTTGAAGTCACCCGAGTTATTTTCTCTCGGTCTCTGTAGGTTAAAAGGCTTATTAGATCGCGAAAAAGAGGAACTCGCCGAAGCAGAAGTCATCAAAGATTCTCCCGATTCCCCGGAGCCCCCCAACAAGAAGCCCCTTGTTGCGATGGATGACTTGCCAGGGCCGGAAAAAAATAAAGGTACGGTCCAAATCATTTCAAGCTATCCCAAAAAGTGAACCCGTGGCTGACGGAGGGCATATTTTTATATATGTATAAGTAAGGAGAATTAAAACCCGAAGAATTTATTTATTTTATTTTATTTATTTATATTTTATTTATAGGTCGCCCTTTTCCCTGAGGGGACTCAGGGCGGCTTACAACCAAAAAGGAAGGGGAGTTGGCTTGTTCGGTGTCATTTCAGCACCCCACGGCATTTAATCATGTTAATTTCAACCAGGCATAAACCAGCACCGTGGTTGCGTTGTAGATTGAACAGATTATAAAAAAAAAATTGCACCTGGAGGGCAATTATTATTGTTTTAACAAATTGGAGATGCGGTTGTAGATTTTTACGGCGAAAAGTAAGGCAAATAACAGTACGAACACAGGAAAAGGCATTGTTCTTTTGGAGTGCAAGTAAGAAAATTAGATTTAAGAAGGCAAATTAATGAGGGCGCTTAGATTTTCTTCATGGATTTTTATCTTTTTATAGGGCCAATATCCCTTCTGTCCCTTTGGAGCAACAGGATTAATGCTGCAAATTCTAGGAAACATCAAGAATTTATTGGCCGCTTAAGTTCTGTCAACAATAAAGCCGAACTGTACCAACATCTTAAAGAGGAGAACGGGTTTGTATCTCCACGTGGCTTGCTACAGGATGTGTGCTTATTTCTGGTTGATAACGTATCTGAACGTTTTGCCCGTGGCATTAAAATATTCTGTTAGTGACGTGTGTGTGTGTGTGTGTGCGCGCGCATGCACTTAGAGGTGGAGTTTTCACAATCAGGAGGCTAGAGGCAGATATTTCTCTCTCTGGACAAACAGAGAATATATATCTGCTGAAGAAAACTCCTCATTGGCAACAGGAAGGGCATCCGGGCACTAAACCACTCTGCTAGCTCCATTCAGTTGCCCAGACTCCACCCCGCAAGGAATTATTGGGATCGTTAAAAGATGATGATGATGATTATATATGTACCGTTTACAATAAGAATTATAAATAAAGAGCCAGAAGGCGAACATTTTGTTCAACTGTTGAAACATTTCAAAGGTTTTAATTCTTGCAAATATCGTCTTGCAAAGAAAAGGTTTACATGGACATTGCTTGTTTGATAAAAAAAAAAGCAGTGTGTTAAGAATATACTTAATTTCCTAAACTCGACAGAAATTCCCCAGGCTGAATTCCTGAACTTAAACGGCAATTAAAGTAATTGAAGAATGCATAAACCATCTTGGAGATTTATGTTAAACGGAAGTTTACAATAGCTGGCCAGCCTTGAATAATAGAGGCCTTGCTTCCCGTTAGGCTTATTTCGATCCCGTGCTGTGGATTTGATGACATAAACTTCCATTCCCCAAAAATTCAGTTGATTCTAAAAGCAAGATTAAAATTAGTTGACCTTCAACAAGAGTTGCAAATGTAAACTGAGTTAAGTAATGGTTGCAAATTGGTTCTAAGGGAACTACAAAGTTTTCTGTGTTTTTATTCTACCCTGCTCTCTACACATAATTTTAACGACTGTATCTCTTTTTTAGGTTTAAGTGTAATGATGAGACTCTCGGCCTCATTGTCCTATTTTTAGATAATTGACAAAAGATATTCATTAACCTTGTAATTTTGATTTGTTTTCAGAGTGGAAAGCACAGAAAATGGGAAACCCAGCCGGCAGTGAATTCTGTTCGCCACCTGTAAACTTTTAATGCCTGATTTGATATCTCTATCTAACTGTACAGTTCCGTTATTTTGGTTGCTTTTTACATTTTTGTAATAATTTTAGCGCTTTTGTATGAAAAAAATGCAAAATAAATATACTATTTGTTCCAAACCCCACGGGACTCTTTAAGAGGAAAGAGAATTTCAATTTGCACGCAGATCTTTTTATGGCTGCATATAAAGGGCGTTGTTGTTGTTGTTGTTGTTGTTGTTTTAAGAAAAAGCACAATTCTCACTACTTGAGTTTTTTCTTTGGTTTAAATCCTATTGCTATACTTGAGAGTCCAGGCTTTTAGTGAAATCCTGTTAACGTCGTCCATGCTGGCTGGGGAATTCTGGGAGTTGAAGTCCACACATCGTAATGTTGCTTCGCTTGAGAAAGGCTGCGTGATTCCATAGAAAACCCCTTAAAGAAACTCACACGTTGTGTAAACTGGCTAGTTTAAAGAGCCAAGGTGGCGCAGTGGTTAAATGCAGCACTGCAGGCTACTTCAGCTGACTGCTAGTTCGGCAGTTCGGCTGTTCAAATCTCACCGGCTCAGGGTTGACTCAGCCTTCCATCCTTCCGAGGAGGGTAAAATGAGGACCCGGATTGTTGTTGGGGGCGATATGCTGACTCTGTAAACCGCTTAGAGAGGGCCGAAAACCCTATGAAGCGGTATATAAGTTTAACTGCTATTGCTATTGCTATAGTTCTTGTGTTGCAAGACTGTGGTTATTTAAGATGGAGCTAAGAGTAGAAATGGGTTCCTACTGGTTTGGATCGGTTTGGCCAAGTAGGTAGTAACTTGGACAGCCACGCCCCTGAGCCGGATCTGTCGGTGGCGCCATAGGCGCTGCCATCTTGTTTTTTGTTACTGCCCATGTGCATGCGCGAAGCACGTCCCTGATTGAACCGCCAGTAACAAAAGCCGGAACTCACCCCTGGCTAAGAGGAAAGGGTTAACTCTACCTCTTCTCTTAGAACAGTGTTTCTCAACCTTGTCAACTTGAAGATGTCTGGACTTCAACTCCCAGAATTCCCCAGCCAGCATTCGCTGGCTGGGGAATTCTGGGAATTGAAGTCCAGACATCTTCAAGTTGACACGGTTGAGAAACACTGTCTTAGAAGTACAACTGAAGTTTCCTTTTTGTCCTTTAGAGGAAATCCTTTCGGTTATTTTAAATCCTCCTCCTCCTCCTCCTGTGGTCCCCCCCCTTTCTAATATGTACAGGTAGTCCTCACAACAGTTTACAAAGTTACAATGACACTGGAAAAAGTGACCGATGACCATTTTTCACAAGCTTCGGCTTCGGCTCAGTCTACACAATGCGAAGAGGAAGCATGCCAGCACTTTGGGGAGTGGTGTCAAGCTGGCCACGCCCACCCAGTCATCCCTCTCCCCTCCCCCAGAGTCAACCAAACCCCCAATGCGGCCCTCAATGAAATTGAGTTTGACACCCCTGGGCTAGAAGGTATAAAAAGAAGAAATGAAGTACAGATTCCAGATAGACTTTTATATAGACTCGCTTTGGATCACGAGACAGAGCAGCATATAACTTTAATAAATAAATGAGAACAGACTTGTATTGGAACGAGTGAGTGGGGTCATCCGGGATCCTGTCTTCCATACAATGGCGGAAGTCTATATTTTGGAGGGGATGGAAGCCTTGTGATCACCAGAGCTTGATGCGGCCTGAAGGAACGCTGTTGGAAACCCATTGACACGGGTAACGGTAACCGAGTTAATGGAGGAACATCCTGTTCCAATGGAGGAGATTGGCGCAATGTCGGCATGTCCATATTGAAGTCAATGTGGCCACAGGAAAGTGAACACAGTGGTTGAAACGTTTTCTTGTGATACTTCTGACAATGGACAACAATTAGGAACACTAAAGTTGTGGAACATACAGCAATTAACAAGGCCGTGAGAGCGTTTGTTATCCAACAGTTGCCGCCGTTAAATCCAGTGACAGTCCTGTTGAACACTTCAGACTCGTTCGTTGGGTTTGTCGCGGACGAGCAAATCCCAGCATACGCCACTTCTCCGATCTGTTCGATTTTGAATTCTGGCAACATGGCTTCCGCGAAATCTGGATGGACGTCTTCCCCGGGCCTTCCTAGTTTGGTGAGCACATGCTGGATGTCATCTCTTGCACATTCCTCAGTCTTTGGGCACAACGATTTGTTGTACCACGTGAACACGGCGGACCCAGTTTTGAGATGAAGCAGAACCACATCCGCAGGGCTCTCCGCCAACAAATAATCGGAAAGTTTCTTGAAAAAGAAGTGAATCCTTGTTCTGTTTTTTAGGAACGAGTGGTAGCTATTTGTCGCGATGACCGTATAAACGTGGCACGGGATAATAGCTGGCTTGAATATTTGTACGACGAATTTATCTTCGGTCTTNGGGGGAAGCGCATTGCACGCATGCCTTCAGCTGGAGTCGGATCTCCGATTATTACAGCAGGCTTGGGAGGGGTGCACCTCATTGGTGAATGTGATTTATGACACAGACTGAGAAGGGAAGAAAGAGCAGCAAAGTTCAGCCATAATTTAAATGAGGTCAGATCTGACTGCCAGGTTTTCGAAAGATGCCCTGATTCATTCATGAGCCTCGAGCCAAGTTTATCAATGACTGGGTTTCTTTTGAAACTCGGCTCGAGGCTCTTTTGGAAACCTGACAACAGCAACGAAAGGAACATCTATGAGCCATGGGGGAGGCCCAGTGGTCAGAATGGAGTATAGCAGGCTAATTCTGCTTACTGCCATCAGTTCGCCAGTTCGATTCTCACCAGGCTCCAGGTTGACTCAGCCTGCCATCCTTACGAAGTCGTAAAACGAGGACCCAGATTGTTGGAGGCAACACGCCGACTCTGTAAACCGCTTAGAGAGGGCTGTGAAGCACCGCAAACGGTATATCAGTCTAAGTGCATTCTCTATATATCATTTTAAAGCATCCCAGCTTACTGGCGTAGGACCCACGGCATTTCTTGCACCAGCAGAATAAAATAAAATAAAATAAAAAATACAATTTCCTATTTTGACATCCAAGGACGTTTTCGTAGAAAGAAAAATGAGAATTCCAGGATTCACAGCAGCTCTAATTGTGTCTTTCAGAGTAATATTAATGGCAAGGGATTAGTCTACAGGGGGACCTAAAATAGCACACATTCTTCTTTTCTTTGATTAATGCTTGTTGCAGCAAGGCCGTTATTCTCCCCCCTTTTTCAGTCGTGTTGCTACTAAAACATTGTTACACTAATTAACCTTTCAATTGTGTTATCACAGGTGATAATCACCTGGGCGGCAGCAGCAAAGAGGGAACCTTCAAAGAAACCATCACTTTGAAGTGGTGTACCCCCAGAACAAACAGTGTCGGTAAATATTCCTTTTTCCTCTAAAGCTTTTCACACGTGGTTTAATTCTAGAGATTGTCCTATTTTGTTCCTTTTCGCAATCCCTAAATTATGGCAGCGGCTCATGTTTTTAAACAAGGAATTCGCCTGCCTGACATGACTTCAAACCCTTTCTGTAAAGAATGTGACTTTTTAATTAAGATCAGGTATTTTCTAAGAACAGTAAAAATTATCCTTTTTAAACTCCCCACCCAGAACTGCATTACTGCACCGGAGCGTACAGGATATCCCCCGTCGATGTGAACAGCCGGCCTTCTTCATGCCTAACCAACTTTCTTCTTAACGGTAAAACATTTTCGCTCAACTTTCCAACGAGACGACGTGTCCGGGGGGGGGGGGGGGGATGCCCTAATTAAATCACGCAGTTTGCGGACCCCCGAACTAGGCGAAACCGCACCCGACGCGGAGGTCAGATTCAGTCCTGTCCTCTGGTCCAGAGGTGGGTTCCTCCCGGTTCGCACCGGTTCGGTGGAACTGACAGTGGAAATGGCGACTGGGTCTCCAAACCGGCATGCTCTCCACGCCCCTGAACCTGTTCCCCAGTCACCGCAATGTGTTTGTTTTTTACCTTTAAATGTTCTGTGCATGCGCAGAGCTATTTATAGGCTACTAAGCATGCAAATTGCCCGTGCATCGAACCCACAGTAGCCCACCCCTGCTTTGGTCCTTTGGAAAATAAGTTGACCCCCTCTTCTTTATGGCAGCCCCTCAAATACTGAAACATTGCTGTCCTGTCACCCCTCCTAATAGCCCTTCTTTTCTCTAGCCCAAACGCAGATCCTGCCACCGTTCTTCCTCTGTTTCGGTCTCCAGGCCTTTAAACCTCTTTAGTTGCTCATCTCTGCACTTTTCTCAAAAGTCTCAATTTATTAATAATATATCAAACCACATAGAAATGTTTAATCTTAATTAAGAGCCGAGGGTGGCGCGGTGGTTAGGGTGCAGCACTGCAGGCCACTTCAGCTGACTGTTATCTGCAGTTCAGCGGTTCAAATCTCACCGGCTCAAGGTTGACTCAGCCTTCCNGAATTTATCTTCGGTCTTTAATCCTCCCGAGTCTGTGGCAAAGAGTACAAACTCTTGAGGGGAATACTGGAAATCAGCAGCAAGCGGATAACCATACATACTTCGATCCCGGGCGTTAAATTGTAACCAGCTTTCCAGATCTGTCGGGGAGCCGTCGACGGGGATCATTCCGAGGGTCAGCTGAGTTGAATCCCCGTCTTCTTGGTCATGAAATGTTTCTGGCGGTATTAAAAACGAGAACTCGTGCCCGACCGTGGCTGCGATCCACTTAATGACGTGAATGACTCTGGGAGGAGTGTTTGGCTGACCTGAATAAAAACAAAATCATAGAAGAGAACGGTAAAGAACCAAGTCTACGAAGATTCTCCATCATCCAGGTCATGGTTGTCCTAAAGGTGCTTTTTTCAAGAGGCAACTGGACTTTTTGGTATTTCTTTGAAGACGTCTCACTTCTCATCCAAGAAGCTTCTTCCACTCTGAAAGCCGAAGAGTCCAGAAAACCAGGAAGTCCAGTTGTCTCTTGAAAAAGCCCCTTTGGGAGAAGCACCCTATCCAATGATGATGAAGAAGGCAACCTGTGTCTCTGGGCTCTTTCTAGCCGCCCCTAGTTGACTTGGTTAGAAAGAGATGGACCACCGTTTGATATTGAAGGGCTCCTTATTTCCAAGCTATGGATCGGACTTTAAGAGTTCCAACACGCTTCCTGAATAGTTTTGTATTCCAGTGGTACCTCAGTAGACTCGTTACTTAGTTCCTGGAGGCACCACCTGTACTAAAAATGAACACCAGTAGTTCTTCCCCGTTCAAAGTTATAATGGTACTTATGACCATTTTTCACACTTTGGACCGTCGTAGCATCCCCGCGATCGTATGATTTACAATCGGATGCTTGGCAACAGACTCAGATTGATGACAGTCGCGGCGTCCCGGGGTGTGTGTGTCACGTGATCCCCCCCCTTTTGTGACCTGACTAGCAAACTCAACGGAGAAGCCAGATTCACTTAACAACCGTGTGACCAATTCAACAGCCGCAGTGGTTCACTTAACAACAAGATTGTAAGATGGGGTGTCTTGCTCAACAACATAAACCTTGGGTTCAATTGTGATAAATCAAGGGCTACCTGAACTAATTAACACCACAACTTACCTTGTGTTTTCTGGTACAGAGTAGTGGCAGGAAGTCCATTCTCCACAGATACTCCTATGTGGCTGAAAACAATGACCGCTTCTTTCGATTTTGAGACAACATCCTTTGTAATTTGGACATTCGTTTTGGTTCCAAACGAGCTTCCCAAACTTAAATCGTTGGTATCCAATGGCAAAGCATCGGATTCTATCACTGGCGTTCGAACTAAATTGTGGATAGAGTCACACTGATTTGTAGAAAAATGAAAACTGGAGGTATGAGCAAGTTCTAGAGGGGGAGTAATCCATATAGATCCGCAAGAGAGCCATTCCAGTGCCTGGCTTTTTCTATGAGATCTCTCTCCTTGACGAAGGAATCCGCTGCTTAAGATAACAGCACTGGATGTTGTGATATAAAACAGAGTTGTTCCTTTTATCCGAAGGGAGGTGTCCATTTCAGTTTTCGTAACTACTAAGACACTGTTTCCTGTCGTAACAAATCTGTAGGTCAATGGAATAGTTGCAAAAGATTCACCGGGGTTCATTCCATCTGAGCTAACCTGTCTTCTGTCGGGCAATTTTTCCATAGGGAATATATTACCAGATCCAAACAATAATGTCAATTCCACTGAAACTGATGAGAAAGAAGGGGAAAGCACGGGGTTGCTAATTGTTTTAGTCAGGAGGCTAAATGTTAGTAGAGTTTTACTGGAGAATAAAGTGTTGTTGTTCAACCTATCTGTGGAACGTTTTGATGAAGTTGGAACATTATCCCAGCAATACAATTGAGTTGATGGGCATGCATTGGGTAGAGAACCAAGTTTGGGGTGAAAATCTGTAACGAGAGCATCAAATATAGATGGGGTGTTGGTCAAGATGGAGCTTTTGATCCATTCGGAAAGGTCCGTCTGCTTTATCGGTGTTAATGTCATAAAAGTATCTGACACAGAACTGTCGACATTAAGTAATTTTGGATTCCAATAGCTATCATGTAGGAAAATCAGAGAGATTGCATCACTAGAGAATGACAGTTCAGAAGATGACCATGATATCCTTAAATATGCTAAGGTTGCCATGGAAGGCAGAGAAAGTTCGATTATAGAAATGATCTCTCCAAATTTAAATCCAGACATCGTTCGATGAATGAACGGGCTATGGTCACTTAGATTTCTTAATTCTCCTGAGAGAGGTTCTGGAGACGATGGGGTAGAAGGCATTTCTTCTGATAAAATGTCCCTTGGATGGCCAACAGAGTTGGAGAAATAATTTTTGGTCATAGGTATGAACAAGCTGAAGTAATAGAACGTGGAATTATACTTCGGCTCAGATTTTTGAGTCGTGGGGAAATCCCCTTGTGTTGCAGTATCTAGTGAGGGTCCATACAGTAGATGCTCTGATATTGGTGGGGTTTCAAAAGTCCCTTTCTCCTCAAATTCTGTGGAGCTTAGCATCAAGGAAGGCGAAAGTTCAGAAGAGAGGTAATGAAACAAGGTAGATTTGGAGACCTGAAGGCTCTCCAAATCCACATTGACCATTACAGGTTGTGTACTGAGGTCCGCGTAAGGATGGGTAACAGAGAAAGTGGTTTTATTGACAAGTGATGAACTTGCTTCAGACTTTGTCTCTGGCACAGCAGCTATCAAAACGGTGGACTTCTTCGTTTGGCTTGGTATCCATGTGGGCTTTGGGGTGGACATTTTTCTCTTCTGCCAAATCTTCTTGGGGTTCCTTTTTTCATAGCCTTGTTTAAGGACTCTCCAGCCGACAATTTCATAGCCCAGGAGCCGCGAGAGATTGTTGGATTCAACATTGTGCCTCAGAACTCGCACCAATTCAGACAGCATTGCAAACACCCCGTAGCCAACTGGCCAACAGAGTCCAACATGATGCCTTTTTGTGGAGTTGATGTATCTGAGACCTTCAGCCAATACGGTTAGCTTCCGAAAATATTTATTTAGGGAATCTCCGACTGAGATGAGCGCGAGTGAGGAAGGATCCAAGTGGAGATATTCTGCCATGGTGCAAATCAGATTGAGTCGTTCTTTAATTTCCAGAGTATTGTCCGTTTGAAGTACGATCTCAGCGAAGGTGATGGAAAGGTGTTTGGCATACCATCCTCCAGAACAAATACTGAAATCCCCAAAACAAATACTGTTAAAAGACGGACCACCTTTTAAAACATGGAATTATAATTTAACATTTTCCAGATCATCTCAACATATATATATATATATATATATATATATATGTGTGTGTGTGTGTGTGTGTGTGTGTGTGTGTGTGTGTGCGCGCGCGCGTGCGCGCGCAACAAAGGCAACATAAAAAAATGGCTTTCTGCCTGGATGGCTCCTAGGGTGAGCCGAGAGACAGAAAAGGGAAGCAGTATGCTCCCTCCCATATTTGGGCATACCAGGGGTTGTGACACTAAATACATACCTATTTCCCTGGCTCAGCTGATAAAGGAGGAGAACCTTGTGGCTTAGTGGTTAACACATCTGCCTAATATGTAATACAGCCCAGGTTCGAATCCCAGTAAGGGTATGGCTAGCTGATGAGAGCTAAATAGCTTGAAATAGATTTATACTAGTCTCCCTTTATTTACTTATCAGCACAAATACAACATATATGTGTGTGTGTGTGCGTGTGTGTGTGTGCGTGTGTGTGTCAGTATATATTTGTCACAAGTGTATCTATGAAAAAGCTTCTAAGGTATAATATTAAAAATGGCTCTTAGGTTAGGTTCCCTCTGCACATATGTGCTAGTCATTCCCACCTCCCGAGGGTGGTGCTCATCTCCATTTCAAAGCTGAAGAGCCAGCACTGTCCGAAGACATCTCCATGGTCATGTGACTGGCATGACTAAAACCCGAAGGCGCACGGAACGCTGTTCCCTTCCCACCAAAGGTGGTTCCTATTTTTCTACTCGCATTTTTAATGTGCTTTCGAACTGCTAGGTTGGCAGAAGCTGGGACAAAGAACGGGAGCCCGCTCCGTTATGTGGCGCTAAGGATTCAAACCGCTGAACTGCTGGCCTTCTGATCAACAAGCCACCTCTGAAGGTTAGGTTAACAAAGAACAATTGGCTGAAAATTGTCCTAAAACATTTCTTTTAAAATGAATAGTACATAACTATTGTGGAGTATGTGCACTTGTCATCCAAGAAGCTTCTTCAGCTCTGACTGGATGGTGGGGAATGGAAGGATTTATAGTCCTTGCAGAGAACTGTTCATTCTTGGATGAGAAGTGAAAAGAAAAAGAAAGTCCTGTTGCCTCCTGAAAAAGCACCTTTGGGACAACCATGACCTGGATGACGGAGAATCTCTACAGACTTTTAGCTATGCAATTTGGGATGGACACCCTCGGAATGGAGTGGGAGAAGGAATGGATTTCCAGAGGGAAAAAAATTGCAGACTACAGGAACCATTTGCACCACTCAGGTGACCCCGAAGACACAGATAAAACCTCCAAGTGGCCTCAGCGACCCTCTAAAAGGATGCAAATGACCAGCTGTCTGCAAGGAATATAAATCCTTCCGTTCTCCCACCCTCCAGTCAGAGCTGAAGAAGCTTCTTGGATGAGAAGCAAAATGTCTTCAAAGAAAAACAAACAAAAATCCAAGTGGCCTCAATGACTCCCTAAAAAGGATGCAAATGACCAGCTGTCTCCAAGGAGTATAAATCCTTCTATTCTCCCACCATCCAGTCAGAGCTGAAGAAGCTTCTGGGATGAGCAGCGAAACGTCTCCAAAAGAAAAAACAACAACAAGAAAGTACAGTTGCCTCCTGAAAAAAAGCCATTTTCAAGTCAATCCTGTAGGTATTTGAAAACAGACCCACATCAAGACGATCGAAATGCATTGTCCCGATGTGTCAACGCAACTTACATGTTCTTTGCATGGACGCAAATGAAATCTTGACCCCGGAGTGTAACCTCTGCCCTTGCGGATGGAATCTCACATGCCTCGCCATGGGCCACCACCACAGTCAGCTGAAGTCCTTTCTCTGTCAACCGTATCCCTTCGTGCTCATTAGTGGAAATACTATGTTCTAACCATTTTGACAAAGCCAGAGTGATCTAAACAACAATAATCACATGCATTGTATGAGAGGCAGTAAGGCTATCGTTCAAAACCTTGGCGCTTTTTCCTCTCCCCCCTCCCTATTTTCCCATTATTATATATATATATATATATATATATATATATATATATATATAT